ATCCTGAGCTTTCTTTTGTATGTGGCAGTTTTGCACGAAAAGTTCTTCAAACGCCCTCCCCCTCACAGAGAAGCGTTTGTACCTTGAGCCTCTCAAGCAGGTAGCGGGCTCAAAGAGCCTTCAATTGCTACAGGGAACTTTGCTTGAGCTTAGACTGGTGCTAAGTGTTGCTCAAAATGACTGTCATATTAATGAGCAATGGCCAAAATAGGACAGTTCGGCGACGGGGGGGGATGTTGCACTTTTGCTACTTCCTACCATCGTGTCAACCCATCTAGAGAGCCATTTCGTGAGCTTACAAGAGTTGACAGGTTTTACCATGATGGCCGGCGAGCTTGCTCCAGCTTCACAAGAGTTCACAGTTTCTTTCAGAGTGAGACTTGTAAACCGGAACTAGTGAAGCAGCGAAAGTGCAAAATGCCTCTTCCCGTCGCCGCCGATAAGAACCAGAAGATATCCGTGTAGGTGAAGTTTTGGCACCAGTACTTTTCTGCCCAGCACATTGAAGTAGGCGTATAGTATAGACAGTGAGACCGTACCTGGACGTCTCCATACTTTGGTCGATCAGCATCGCATCGTCCGTTTCGACACTGCGGTTGATGACGTCATTAGTATCGGTTTCAACCGACTGCGTTCTGTAGGAGACTGGCTGAGTGGACACACCACAAGATATGTACACCTGTGGTTGAGTGTTTACGCCATGATCCTGAAATTCGTAGCGGATTCTTCTTAGGATTGGGAGGATAAGCCTATTTATCTTTTTTATTGGTCGTCGTCCTCAAAAGTATTTTGAATTGCGGTCATGCGTTACAATTGACCTTGAAAAGTCTGAGAAGTGCATCAGTGTTTAAAGGAATGCCTAGCACCTTCATAGCTTTCTGCGGGATGGGATCCGTCTCCATGGATTGTGTCATCACTTGTAGCATCGTTGTGAGTATTTCCTTGTCCTAAATCAGAGAAAACTGTATTGATTATCTGCAAGACAATATCATTCATGGATCAATAGGGTAAACAGGAAACCACCGTCATCTCGGCTACGCTTTTGTCCCCAACGCTTTCCAAATGATTCCTCTTTTTTGACTTTCTGCCAATGCACAGTAGCGAAGATTCAGCATTGTCGGAGTCGTCGTCATTTTGGAGGTTTCGACTTGCCTGAAAAAGACGTGACTGAGATAATTGATGGATGTAATAGTGTGCACCCTGTTTTACTCGAAGTGGTTGAATCGATGGGGAACAAATTCCGAAATGATCGAATGGGTGGAGACCCATGACCAGGCTGCTCATGAGTCTCCGTTCATCCGATTACCGCGGAATGTCGTTCTTTGCGTCTTTCTGTTCCATCACTGGAGCGTCCACTTTCGATTCGTTGAAGAGGAGGAGTGTTATCAATCAGGAAGCGTAATACCAACGAATACCAACGCATACTAGTAGTACGAAACCGCCGCCTTCTCCTCCACCGATTCGATTGCGCGAAATAAGTCTTCAATTTACACAATCTCTACAAGTTTCTGATGGTCCTTACATATGAACAGCACCCCAAAGTCACTGTGACTACGCAAATTCTAAGTTTCTCCGTGAGCTGTCCGCCTTGGGGGGGGGGTGGGCGAGCAACTTCCTGAATCACTAGTTCCTTTTACTAGTTCGTGCTGAATTGCACGTCCCACCTTGATAAAACTATAGGCTCTTGCCAAGTGGAAGAGCCTGCTACTGCCGAGCTTCACGAGAATTTGCAGGCACAGGAGGCAGCGCTCAGTGGCAACCAGTAAAAGTCCCACCAGGGCAAACTGCACCCCTTCTTTGTTAGGCAGGGGACTCCCCACATCACCTCCACTGAGGCGTACTACGGTCAAAGTTTGACCATAATAAAAAAAATTGCTGCCTGATAGCAACCCGGTCTAGTTGTGTGGATGATGTGCTTTTTCTTGCCTAGCCTTTCGCGACAGAAATACAGAAGAAGTACCAACTATGTCAGCCTGTCAAAAGAACCAAGTTGTGTCGACAAGTATAGAGTAGCTTAGCTGACACGACACCCCCCCCCCCAACTAGCTGACTAGAATTACTGTAGCATTTCCAAGTCGGTCCGGTGCTGGAGCAAATGCCGTGCACAGAGCACCATTTACGATATCCCTTTCCTGTGCAGCGCGAATCGGATTTCCTGGCCTACACTCTAGCGAGTTTGAACTAATTGTGGAAACAGTACCTGAAGAGCAGCTAATCGCAGGACGATCTCATCTATTTGGAATTGTGATATGTCGGTCTGAACGTGCGTGTCAATAACTTCCACGGATTCGTCGCTAACATCAGAGCTAATTTCCTCGCTGAAACAATGAAAGATGAAGCAAAACACCAACATAGTTGTGAATACTAACATGACAACGGGAGGGAATATCAAATGTAGAGGGTATGCATCACCACAAAACTTGACGCCGGCATTTTATGCGTCTCTCGCCTTTAAGTACCCAGTCCATGCTGATCGCATGGGTGGAGACTATCATCATCAGCATGCCCGGCTCATTGATGCCCTCCTCCTGATATGGGCGAGCCGAGCGACAAGTACAATACTGTCTCTGCC